TGTCTTTACGCAAGGGTTACGTACAAACTTTGGTTCCAGATGAAGGTTCAGACATCATCTCATCAAACGACCATTGCCGCGCGTAAACGCGTTACTAAAATGGTGCTTACGGTATCGCTAGTATTCTGCGTTCTGTGGATGCCTAACATCGTTACGTATCCCGCAGCTGTCTACAGCGAAACACCTTTGTATGACGCAGTGCATATCGTCTCCATTGTCTGCGTTACGTTCAACTCCAGTATCAATCCCATCATTTATAGCCTTCAGTCCCGYGTTTTCCGTAAGAACATCTGGCGTRTTATTAACTGTTACAAACGCCGCGAAAATATGGTGACGATTTCTACTGGTAATACAGATAACAATGCACCGTCMAAGGAAACAGATCAGCGACAGCGTGTCGATTCCGAGAATTCCATAACTACACGAGTTTAACTGTCTTGCGYTCAGTTTACGTACAGCTMTTACTGTTACTACGTATGGGGCTGACAACTTAGATTTCGTTTTGATATCTTACATGAAACTGGTGCCATTGCGATTTTTATCCGTTAAGCAACTAATTACGCGATTTTTAWCTTGCTCAAGCTTTATTCATTTGCCTAGTTTTTCAGTTACGTAAGACATATGTACTTAAACGTTATTAATTTGCGTTTGCGCTAAGTTATACGTAGCTTTGAATAATCAGTGTCCTCGCGCACACGTATAACAACGCAGCCTTCACTAGTATTGCTGCACGCATCAAAATTTGTAGCTGGGACACAAATGATGATACACAATAGAAACATTTTTAGCTTGCTATACACGACTGCATGATGAATAAATCAATTGTATTTCGCGTATGTTTAGCCCACCATGAAGACTTTACAGCAACACCAGTGTAACAAACTTTAGCCAGGCTTTAGGTAACATATATACATTGTACATAAGCAATCAACTAATTCTTAAACCACTTTGTTACAGAAAGATTTTTGTTTGTTAGGAACAACTTGTAAAATATGGAATCAAAATAATCTAGTTCGCAAACATTATCTAGTGGTGAGTTTACACTGGTTTGCATGAAAACTCTACCGCTATAGTGACTTGTAAACAGCTGCTACGAAAAACGAGTTTAAATTAAAAAGCTAATTTCAAAAATCAAGCTAATACCTAATAATAATTTTGCACTTTGCAGTAGTWATCCCTACATAACGTCCTATTTCTTTTYATTGTTAACCTCTTTTTTTTKYKYTT